TTTGTTTTTTTTTTTTTTTTTTTTTTTTTTTGGAAAAGTCTTCATCCTTACTTCTAAAGGACAGCTTCTCTGGAATACGGCAGCTCATTCTCTTCTGTCCTGAAAAGGTTTTCTTGAAAAATCAAATGATAGCTGTGTTCGGGTTCCTGTGTATATAATGAACATCTTCTTACTGCTTTTGACAATATAATTCCAATATGTGTCTCAGTGTAGTCTATTGGGTTTCACTCTATTTTGGGTCTCCTGGCTGTCTCTCTCTCTAGGTTTGAGAGGCTTTCAACCATTATTGCCTAAAGTATACTTTCTACCCTTTTCTCCTCGTAAAATTCCCCCATTCGAACATTGTTTCATCGTGTCCCCATAAGTCCCGGAGACTTTCTTCCCTCTTTACTTTTGCTGCTCTAACTGGGGAATTGCACGTCACCGATGCTTCTGCATAGTAAAGCCTGCTTTTGAAGCTGCTGATTAAATTTTTCAGTTTGCTTTCTTTCCCCCTACTCAGGTGTCCCCACAGACTTTCCTTCACCAATACGCCCATGCACCATCACCTCAGTCCCCTGTGCTCCTCCCTCCCTCCTTCAGTTCTAGGATTTGTTAGGGGTTTCTTTGAAATTCTTTCTCTTCTATTCTGCTAATTTTAGTTGCTCATGTTTTTATAATTCACTTTAAGAGGATTATTTTGAATTATTGTCTAATAGTTCCTATATTTCCATTTCTTTAGGATCAGTTACTAGAGATTTTAGTTTCCTTTGGTGGTTTTATATTCACTTGTTATTTTGTGACCCTTGATTCTTCACATTGGTATCTGCATATTTGATTAAGTGGTATCCTCTGCCAGATATTGGAGAATAACTCTCTCAATGGAAGCAAACCTATAGTGAACTCAGCTTTCTGGACACTTCTGGTAACATCCTTGAGCAGATGGGGACTGCTAGTAGGGTCTACTTGGGAGATGCAGTTGCTCAAGCTCTAATGTTGAGGGGATGTCCCACTGGCTGAGAACAGCCAGTTTGACTCCTGCCCAGGTGAGGCTGTAGGATGGGCTTTATTGTTGCCTTGATTGATCAGGCCTACTAGCAGTGGGTCAGCTCTGAATTAACTTTCCTGCCACAGTAGATAGGCCCTGCAGGGCACATAGTTTGTGGACTCAAATCAGGCAAGTGTGTGCACTGTGTATCCTGATCCGGTTGAAGTAGTGGCTTTTCCTATCAGCAGAGCAAAAACCACTAAAAGCCTTGCTCATAGGGCCACACAGCTTCCTGCATGCTGGTAAGGTTGCCTGTATCAGCATGAAGTGGGCCCATGAATTCATTTCAGGGTGCAGGGGGGAAGCAGCCCCAGGGCCATTAAGGCTCTTTGTGGTCTTGACTCAAAGTGGCCCTTGCTCCAAAGCTATCAGCCCTTCTTGGCAGAGCCAAGACTTACAACTAAGCTCTCCTGCCTAGGCTGGACCACACCAGGCTCCAGAGCCTGCAAAACTTTGCATTTAGGGGCCCAAGCCAGGCAGACCTGAACCCTGCTGAGTATCCTGTTCAGACTGTGCACCCAGTTGGGGCTGCTACTTGGGCTCTGGAGGTAGGAACTCTACCTGCCAAGATCCTAGTGCTAGAAGTGCATCCTTGCTTCTCTACCACTGATTCCCATGATGCATGTGTGGCAGAATCAGAGTAGGGGTTCCCACAAAGTGACCCACAATGCTGGGGGTGCTGGATGTCACTTTTTTGGTTCCTTTCCCACTGGAGGAACCTAGGCTCCAGGGAAACCTCTTGGTGTAATGAATGTTCCAACCTAGGAAGAGGGCAGTGCGGCCAGCAATAGCAGCTTCTTACCTTTCTAATCCAGCCTGTGGTGCAAGGGGCACTTCCGTCTCACTCCCAGGCTCTAGATGTTCTGCAGTCTTGTCCTTTAAGAGTTGCTAGTAGCTCTTGAGGGGGTGTGACGTCAGGAATGACCTACGTTGCCATCTTGGTGACCTCGCTCCAAAATATTTCACAGCAAGTCCAGAGGGCAGTGTGTATTCTGCCTCACATACGGCCCGCAGACATCTAAAACAAATCCAAAGATGGCAGTGAGCAGGCTTAGTTTTTTCCCACTGGGCTCTCTTGTCCATGTGTTTCATTTTTCCAATTTTCATCTAAACATCTTTATACTAAATTGTGGACTCAGCTCACTGGAGCAATATTTTCAAAGATGCAATGTGTACAAGAATAGTAAAGTTCAAGAAATAGTTAAAGCACATGTATACTTACATATACCTACAGCAAGGTTTTCTAAAGTTTTTTTTCTGTGGAATGTATGGGTAGATAAAGGTTATACTTTAATATATTGATAAACATTTCTGAGTAAATTAGTTTAAGAATGCCTTGTGACATTAATAATTTAGTACTGTGACTAAATCCCAAGGATAAAAGTATATATTTATATGTAGGATTTCCTCAACCCAATATGATAAATAATCCATTGGAAAAGTTTTATAAAGTCATCAATCTACAGAGAAGTATTTTGAAATACTGACTTGGTGAAGAACCTTTAAAGGGAAAAAGATTTCAAAACCCATTTGAATAAAAAGAAAAGGAATGTGATTTATAATACACTTCATATAAATTAAAGTTCAGATGCACAGAACACAACCTTAAATGCGCACATATTTTGGTAATGTATCAGCCCTTAGAAAGGTTGCCTGTGTGGTGGAAAGGACATGAACATAAGTGAACATTGAGGAGAAACTTCCACTAATTCAAAAAGCCCTAGAGACTGTAGTTCAATGTTACTAAACAGTACTGGTTGAACACACTACCAACTCTTTCAAAATGTGATTTTTTTTTTCCCATAGAGTACTGAGGATGCAAAGAAATATTTGACCTAATTACAGAATTTCATTTTATTTTTTTAAAGATTTATTTATGCATAGAAGAACTGAGGTACAGGCCAGAGGTGTGGGGTGTGAGAGGATTCACCAGAGACAGAGTGGGGAACAGAACAGGCAGATTGACTGAACTACACTGTTGAGGGCAGCAGGAGGCAAGTCAGGAGAGGTCTGCCTAGCTATTTGGGTAGCTCCCTGGCCTGGAATTGAACTCATGCTATAGTGGCTGTGGATAGCTCCATAGGTTGCGTCTTAACACCTTATGCCACCAGGGAGGCCCCTAATTACAGAATTTGAAAAAGAAAAAGCCCCTTATGCCTAGAGGAAGCAGCATAAACTTAAGTAAACTTGCATGTCTATGCTTTCAGTATCAAAAGCAGGAAAATCCTGGGGCCTCCCTGGTGGCGCAAGGGGTTAAGACACAGCACTGTGAAGCTGTCAGCAGCCACTGCGGCATGGCACGAGTTTGATCCCTGGCCAGGGAGGTGACCCACATGGTGCAGCAGACCTCTCCTGACTCGCCCGCTGCTCCCCTCAGCAGTGCATTTCAGTAGATCTGCCCCCCACTCTGTCTATGGTGAATCCTCTCAACCCCCCCACACCTCTGGTCTGTACCCCATCTCTTGTATGCATAAATAAATCAATCTTTAAAAAAGGCAGGAAAATCCAAAACCTCATTTCCAGAGTCATGTATTTAAACTGATCATTTTCTCCTTTTCAAGGTTGCAGGGATATATCTGTTTGGGAAAATCCAATGTTATCATAATTAAAAGAATATTTTTAAACAAACAAAATAATTTTAAACATCATTGTACTATTATATGTAAAATATTTTTGCAGTTTAAATTCTAATGAGGCAGAGTACAAAAACTATTACAATTAACCAAGTCAATATAGCTAGGGGTAGAGGCCAAGTTCAATCCTCTCTTCACTGTGTAGTCCTGAGCTGGCCACCCCATGGGCCAGAACTATAGATGCAGTACTATTATTATCACTTGGAACCAAATAATTCTTTGGTGGGGAGGGGGTATGCATGTTGGGCTGTTTAGCAGCATCCCTGCCCCTACTCACTAGAGACCAGGAGTGCCCATTGTGGGCGCTCAATCCCCCCATTGTGGTAATTAAAACATCTCTGAATGCCTCTATTGCTAACCATTGATCTAGTCCTAATGTGGCTGTGCAAACATTTCTATTCTACAGACTGGTTTGACTCCAAGCCAACACAAAATAACTTTAGACCCGCCTTGTAGCATACAGATAGCACGTGCATAGCAACACTGCTGGCCTCAGGTCTCCCTGACCATCGTCTAAAGCAGTGCTGTCACTAAGGGTCACTAAGGGTCCTGCTAATAATGCACACTCTGGGTCAGTAGGTTTGGGGTGGAGTGTGGGATGTGCCATCTCTAACAAGTCCCCATGTGTAGGGACCACAATTCTAGTAGCAGGAGAGTAAAGGATGACGCAGACAATGGTACTTAGCCTTTGCACAATGTGTCTCTCCTGGGCGTTGGATGATCACCAGAACTCCTGACGGTTGAGTTTGACCTCGTCTTCTCTTGACTCTGTCTTCCCTAGGCTGCTGTTACAAATCCCACTGTATTCCTTCAGCATGGTGCTAGTGGATAAGCATGGAACGGACAAGGAGCGCTATGTCTCCCTGGTGACGCCTCTGACTCTCTTCAACCTGATCGACACTTTCCCCTTGAGGAAAGAAGAGATGGTCCTGCAAGCAGAAATGGGCCAGACCTGTAATACCTGACGTGACGGTCCCTCCTCTTGGCGGTCGGTCTCCTCTTTCTACCAAGTGCTATATCCATGGAAAGGCCTTAAAAATATCCTCGATGTACAGATTTTTATTTGTAATTTTTAAAGTCTATTTTATTATGAGCTTTCTTTGCACTTAAAAATTAGCACATGCTTTTTGTACTCTGAAATGATACTTTTTAACTCTCTCCCCTTCATCATGGCTGGTTAATTTTGTAGAGAAATTAGAAACCACACCCATCAGCACCCTTTCCATGTGGTGTTCTGTGTCACACATAACTTTACTGTTTTTTTTATATGAAACTTTTTATAAAACCTAATAAAATATTTTGGAGCAAATTTATGAGAACTTTCTCAAACTCACTTTTTTTTTCGAGTAGCGGCCATCCTTGCTCATGTGGTCACTGGAATGCTTCTGGGTAGCTGAGTTCCAACTTGCAGGTGCTGGAGTTGTCAGCTCAGCTACAAGCTGAAAATGAAAGTGAAGCCTGTTATCACTTACTGTGACAGTGTACACAAGAGGCCAAGTCCGGAGGAAGGTCAGGTGGAGCACGGAAGACCCAGGCAGTCACACTGTTGAGGGAACCCCAAGCTCCAGCAGTTTTATGACCCTGATGTCAGGTAGGGGTGAGAAATAGAAAGGTTACCCCATACTGATTCCGAGTGGGGAAGAGTATCTTCGAGATTCTTCCCTTCTCCTATAATGAGGTCTCAGAAAATGAACCTGGAATGAAGGCAGCACCTGGGCTTTGAAACAAATACATTAAGTTCTCAACTAATGACATTCAGTTCTCAAACCATGGCTTTATATGCCATTTCCTTTAAAGAAAAGGAAACTTGGTTTCATTCAACATAGGCGGGGAGGTTTTCCTCATCTGCAATGAAATGAGGTTAAACCAAATATTACTCAGACCTGTACGTGAAGAAACATGGCTAGTGTCACGTGGGCCTACCAAATCCTTGACTGGAAGAAGTTGTGGAGATTGGACAGCAGTGACTGACCAAATCTGGATGGAAATGGCTGGTTTTTCCCATGAGACCTTGTGGGTAAAGCCTTTGGAATTACCTAAAGTGTTACCTAAATTTTAGGAATTACCTAAAAAATCAAATTGGTTTATAAACAGGCATTGGACTATCCCACTCACACCCTGAAATTCTCCCTGCCCTTTGAGTACCAGTTTGGCTCATCTATTCCCGAATAAGCAAAGTAACAAATAATGAAAAGCCCAAATTCCAACATACAAAGGTTTAAAACTGAAATCAAACCTGATACTTTTTTTAACATTAGGTGATGATTGCGAGTCTATGAATAACTGATTTTTTTTTTCACAAACCACACTAGATACCTCACTGACTTCTGTCTCCCTCAGATATATCAAACAAAGGTCAGTGGCATGTTTGGGAGGAGACTGTTATCCAGTGACCAGTTTAGAAGCCAAGAAAATTTCACAAGATGTTTGTGACAAATCATATCAGCCCACATTACAGCTCCGTCTGTGACAAGCCAGCCTGTGCCATCAACCCACAGCCTGGAGAGGGCCAACCATAAAGATAGGCTGATATCTAAGGAACCCCTGAAACCAGTCTTCCCGATGAACTGGCACATCACCCAACAAGCTACACAGACTACTTGAAGAATGCATGTACTGTGGTCATTTTTTAAAACACCCCGTACCAAATTTGTGGGTACTCTCCTGCTTAGATATTTTGGATGACCTAATAATTGACATAAGAGGTTAGCAAGAGAAGACCAACTTCAGGTGTTCATGGGGATCCACAGAATATGAACCAGTCATCTGGTCATTCCAGTGAGGTTAGTTTTTAGGAAAAGATAAAACATAAATACACCTTAGAAACAGTAGTCTAGGATGGTCTGTCACTTCCATGATCGCCATAGAGATTTAGTTCCTGTTTTTAGGGACCTAATTAGGGAAAAAAAAATCATTCTTAGATCTTTTGTATCTCAATTTCCTTCCATTTAAAATAATCAGCATGCCCCTTCAGCACATCATGGGGCAACCTGTCATCGGTCCCAATAGGGGCACTTCTAAAGATTAATTGGCTTTTTTTTTTTTTTTTTTTTTTATAGAGGCATGTTTTTTTTTTTTTTTTTTATTTATTTATTTGTTCGTTTGTTTCGTTTATACATGCACTGGGTACAGTCAGAAGCGCGGGAGGGTGAGAGAATTCACCAGAGCCAGAGCAGGGAGCAGAGCAGGCAGAAGGACCGAAGTACACTGCTGAGGGGAGCAGCGGGTGGCAGGAGAGGTCTGCGCACCATGTGGGACCCTCCTCTGGTGGCCGGGGAGCAGCCGGGAATCGAACCGGCGCTGCAGAGGCTGCGGGCAGCTTCGCAACCCAGCGCTCAACCGCTGCGCCACCGGGGAGGCCCTAAAGATTAATTGGCTTTATACAACTGGTTTCTCACTGCAACTTCTATAGGACTATTCTATCTACCTTCTGGACCGCATTAAAAAAAAAAAAACTCAGTTCTACCTACTCACGCTATTTTGTGGAGCAGAACTTGTGTGTGCGTAGTACAAGGATAGGCAGTTAAATTGGCTGAACTCAAAGTGAAAACAATAGATGGCAGCTGGAATAGCAGGTCAGTTATTTTAACGTTTGCTGGGCTGCTTGAAGTCTGCCCCGCCCCTGGCCTGCTCATGCATAATTTAGCAGTCAGTGAGAAGTTTATATGCAGAACCAAGGGCTCCCACTCTGCCCTCTCCTATCTGGGATTTCCCTCCTGAATTTTCTTTTTTTTTTTTTTTTTTTTTTTTTTTTTTATATAGAGGCATGTTTTCTTTCTTTCTTTCTTTATTTGTTTGTTTTTGTTTATACATGCACTGGGTACAGTCAGAAGCGCGGGAGGGTGAGAGAATTCACCAGAGCCAGAGCAGAGAACAGAACAGGCAGAAGGACCGAAGTACACTGCTGAGGGGAGCAGCGGGCGGCAGGAGAGGTCTGCGCGCCACGTGGGACCCTCCTCCGGTGGCCGGGGAGCAGCCGGGGATCGAACCGGCGCCGCAGAGGCCGCAGGCAGCTTTGCAACCCAGCGCTCAACCGCTGCGCCACCGGGGAGGCCCCTGAATTTTCAATTGCTGTGATTATAGCTACCCTCTCGTCTGGTTTGTAAACCTACGAAATTGCAGTTTTCTATGCACTTATCCCTTTCCCCAACTGCAACCTGATAGAAACATATAGGAAAAAACCAATCCTCATGACTCAGTTTATTTACCTTATTCAAGTGATGATCATCCTCTAGCACCTGCTTGCTTTTGTTCATTCTCCAACACCTTCAGGTAGCTTTTTATATTTCATTCTGATGCAGTTGTCTGTAAGAAGCTGGGCTCATAGGAGTTGCTTGGTCATTCATTATCAGAAGATTAGTGAGGGGTGAACCAAAAGGTGGAAGAGTCCAGGTCATTACCAGAGAACCACAGATTTCACTTCCATAAGCCTGCAACTCTGGGCTTTAGTTCAGATCGGTGGGGTGGATGAATGAGAAGAAAGGAAGTTAATGTTATTGAAAGCAAATTGAAGGAAAGATTAGTTTCCTGAATGCTGATGACTATGTTATTCACTTACTCTTACATCAAAAGTTACCCCAACTCTGAGAAGTGGGGAGCAGAAGCAGTATAGGGTCAGGATAATTCTGTGTGTCTACCCGGATCATTTCTAGGTTTGCCCGGGTGAAGCCAAAGGTGGAAGAACTAGGGTACTCCATACAGGCTGGGATCCCAGAAAGGACAACAGAGAAAGTGCTAGACAATACTCCCCCTTTCCCACACTTTAGAATCCGTGCTGGTGCCATGATGAGTTCCGATAGCAAATAAACTGCTGAATCTTAGATCTGGAACCTCAGACAGAAAGGATAACAGTGCTGGATCTCAAAAGAGCCAGCCCTCCTCCAGCACATTCCCCCAGCACAACCACAACAGTGGTTGGTACACTCCATGCAGCCCCCACTGAAACAACAGCTATACACTACCTATTCCGTTGTCTGAGTACCTTAGGCACCCAGTAGTAACCAATAAACAAAGCCACAGCACCACCTGCTGGAACAGTAAAATATAAGCAGCTCAGTTCTAAGTTGCTGATCCAGATTTCAAATGGGCTGGCAAAAAATACACAAGGGAAAGTGAGAACTCAATATGACATCACAAGGACAGAATGACAACTCTTCAGAAAGCAAACTCAAAGACACGGAAGACTATAACTTTTGAACAGATAAAGAATTCAAAATAGCTATCATAAAGGAAATGAAAGAGATACAAGACGACTCAGAAAAGAAATTCAAAGATATACAAATAGCTGAGAAAAGCAACTCGATACGATCAGTAATAAAACTGATAAGCAGGGGTAGAAATCGAAGGTTTAAACAAGCAAATAACAGATTCAGAGTGTGAAGAATCAATAAATTAGATCAAGAGCGGTACAGAAAGCTATGGGAAAAGAATAGACCTCACGGAGACATGAACCAGTGAACTCAAAGATACAAAGCTGGGAGTATCCAAATATTACCCCAATTAAGGATAAATTAAAAAATATAGAAACCTAGAAATGATCCAGGTGGAAGCAGAGAACTAAGATATAAAAAAGTGAAGGAACGCTACAACTATCCAGCTACATTAGGAAAGGCAACCTAAGAATTATGGGTATCCCAAAGGGTGGAGAGAGAGAGAGAGAGAGAAGGGAGCAGAGTGTATTCAATGACCTAGCTTAAAACTTCCCAAACAAGGGAATATACAAGACCATAAAGATAACAGAACATCTGGTTATCTAAACGTAAAGAGACCTATACCAAAACACAAAGCGAAACTACCAACTAACTAAGATAAAGACAGACAAAGAAAGGTGTTTGGAGGTGGGGGTGGGGTAAGCAGGTAAGTTATAAAACCACTCCTATTAGGCTACCAGACTTCTCAGTAGAAATTCTACAGGCCCAGAGAGAATGAAATGACATATTGAAAGAGTAAAAATTACCAGTCAAGAACCACAATAAACACTCTCTCTCACAATGTGAGTCAGGGATTTGGGGGGAGCTTAGCTTACCAGTTCTTGCTTGTAGTCTCTCCTGAGTGTACAGTCAGATGTTGGCCAGGACTCTGTTCACCTGAAGGCTTGACTGAGGTGGAGGCTCCATTCCCATGCTGGCTCCTTCACACAACTGGCAAGATGGTACTGGCTGTTTAGCGAGGCCTCTGTTCTTTCCCACATGGGCCTCTCCAGAGAGTGTCGTGGGTGTTTTCGTAACACGGTGGTGGGCCTCTTTCAGTGGAGTTATCCAAGAAAGCATGAAGTACAAGTGACAGTATCTTTTATGGCCTGGCCTCAGAAGACACAGCGTTACTTCCAGAGTATCCTACTGGTCCTATAGGGCATACCTGTGGAGATCCGCCATGGTGGGGAGGGGCCAGACTCTACCTGTCTTGAGGTTGAGAGGCGCTTACGCAGGAATCACCATGAGTTCCACAAGGGGACAAGATTCCCTAAGGAATAGTTGGTTCCCTGTGTGGGGCACAAAAACTCAGAAGCATCTTGCTGTGGTCAGCAAGCAAGAATGCTTTCAGAGGAAATGGAGGCAGAAATGCCTTCCCCCATTTCTAAAAAGTGATGATAATCCTTACCATCAGTAATAAAATACAAATAACAACAAATGAGCAAAAGATTTGATCAGTTTTGCAAAGAGGATATACGAATGAAAAGGTGTTCATTATCTTTAGTCATTAGGAAAATGAAAGCCATAATAAAATACCACCTGAGTGGTTAAAATTTAAAAGACTGATAACCAGGTGTTGGCAGAAGGTGGAAAAACTGGAACCTTCATACACAGCTGGTAGGAGTATGACGTGGTAAAACTACTTTGGAAACCTGGTAGCTTCTTGTAAGTTAGACATACACCTTCCATAAGATTCAACAATTTCACCCCTACGTATTTATCCAAGAGAAAAGAAAATGTATATACACAAAGGCTTGCAGCTTTTATTCATAATAAACCCTACCGGAAGTAGTTCAGGAGTGTGGATAAACTGGAATGATGGACTATGACTCAGTTAATAAAAATGAACAAACTCTACTGATACGTGTAACATAAAGATGAAATTCAAAATCATTATCCTGAGCAAAAGAAGCGAGACTGCAATGAGTACATTTTATGTAATTCCCTTTATATGAACTTTGTGAAAAGGCAAAACTTGTCTGTAGTGAGAGAAATTATCACAATAGTGGCTTCAACTGTCAGGGTAGAAACTGATTGGAAATGGAACACAAGGAAAAGCTCATGGGGGAATTAGAAGGGTCTCTGTGTTGATAAAGATGTGGCATATATGGCTGTATCCATTTTTTAAAACACATCTAACTGCATGTGTTAAATAGATGCATTTTATTGTAGCTAAATTATAGTTAGCTATAAAAGAATAAAAATGAAATTTAACGTGAATAAAAGGCTAAGAAAGGCTGAGTGCTAACAGTTTAAGCACCAAAATCTAATGGTTCATATCAACTCGAACCATAAGATCATAATGATGTAAAATGGCCAGTGTGCTTGAAAAAGGCAGGTGTTATGATATGAATCGATCACAAAAGACAAGTGTGGGACCCAAGATGTTGGCTAGATGAGCATCTATGGAGGATGAAGGTGTCGACTGTGAAAAAACAGGTGTCTGATGAGGGCCCTTGGCCTAACATCGCAACCACCCAGGTAGGAGGATAGCAAATCACAATTGGTGTGTGGATTGTGGAGAAATGCTTCGTAGAACACTGCACATTTAGAGGAAGACATATTTTTTCAAGGACTTGCTGTCTGCCCTAGACATGGCCTTACTGATCTTGGTTCAAAGGGAGGAAGAGACAGGAACTCCATGTCAGTTAACAGCCAAGTAAGTTCATAACATGCTGACCTCTCCAGGCTTAAAAGAACTCCGGAAAACCAGGGGGAAATGGTTTGAATTCACAGACACTCAACCAGAAGCAGGCAAAGACGAGGAGAGACAGAACACGGAAAGAAATGTGGAGGAGATCCACAATTAGTTGGCTTTTTCCTGAAGCTTCCTCTATTTGCTTGGTGCACTGGATGCAGAGCTCAAGCAGAAGGCTGCAGTCTCACAGGGTACGGGTTCAGAGGACATGGTGGGGTGGCCAGAGGGGCTGGTCATTGAGAATACTGAGAAGGGGAAAGCCTGGTGGAGGAATGCTCCAGATGTGTAAGTTCATGTCAAATCCTTAAATGACCCGAAAGGTATGTAAAGTGAAGCTCCAAGGAGTCCATGGTGGGGGAGTTGGGGGGTTGGGGGGAGCAATCAAGTTGAAGGAAAAAGAGCTGAAGCACAGTCTCTGATCAGTGCCAGAGACAAAGTCAAGGCAAATGGACTCCTGACATCTTGGGTTTCCACTAACAACACAGAAGTAAAAAGACTAATACAAACCAAAATAGACCTGCTTAACAAAGCCAAAAACGAAGCTTTCACAAGAGCAAGCTGACACACCAGTACCTTAACTCTCAGCCAGAACAAAAACAAGACCAGCTCCTTCAACCACCAGTTCTCAAACCTTTGGAAGACCCCAAAGCACTTTTGTTCACATGGAGTACGTCTATCCATATTTTAGCTGTCCGAAAATAAAACTGAGATACATTTTTAATGATTTTATATTTCAATTAATTTAGAAAAAAACTCATTACATCTTCACAGATTTTTCTTTTTTTTAGAAAAACTAAAGTGTTTCCCAAGACAAAGTGAGAAGGAGTGGTATTATTTTAGATTATTCCAAGTGTCTTCACAGTTTGTCATAAAAGCAGACTGTTGGCTTCTCATACGTGCTTTCCTATTCAGTCTGCTACAATATCCACATGCTGTTTTGACTGAAGTATATGAAGAAAATCTGGCCCCACAGAGATACATATTTGGAAAGGGAAGGAGCATTTTAAAAACCTACTGAGATGATTGTGGCTATGTTTCTTTGACATTTCATCAAAACTCAGCAAGCGCTTGCTCTAAAAGTAATGGCGCTATGGGGCGCTATTTGTACCCTGTTGCACTACAATTCATTGGTCCACTTTGCACTCTGAATGGATCTTTTTCCCATGCATGATTTTTGTAATTCCTGCAGTGCTCACTTAGAAAATATTGATTCACATAGTCATGCAGATCTTCCAATGGTTGATAAATTTGGTTACACAGTATCAAAAATCACATTGGTTCTTCTCACTGACAATCTTATTGACAAGTCTCTGAGCATTGGGAAGCTGTCAGTGACACAACAGCATAGATGAATTTTCCAAAATTCTAATTTTTGCTTCAAAGCCTAAATTTCATCAATGGCAACGAATAATGTCAGTTGCTTTTCTTGAAGTGACAGGCTCACTTTGTTCATTTTCGAGAAAATGCCCAATCCTCAAGCCTGAACAACATAGATTTTCTGTTCCTTGTCCATTAAAATAAAAAATGATCAAAAGTACAGCCAGTTCGATTTGTAATTCAAACATACAAGCACATATACTTAAAGGTCAAATGTAATAACATTAATTTTCACTATTTCATCAAGGACTTTCTTA